CTTCCTGCGCCGCTCGCGGCACAACTTTCCCAGGCGCGGCGCCGCAGCCCGGGCCCCGCCGCCGCTCGGGGCTGCGCGCACGCCGCTCCTCATTGTCCCGGCAGCCTGACCTTCCTCTTAATTAGCTTAAAACCGCACAATAAAAAAAAAAAAATCTAAAAAGGGAAAAAAAGGAAGGGAAAAAAAATAGAAGAAAAAAACCCCCTCGGTAAAAGCCAGTCGCAAATCAAAAGAGGCAACAGTGAGAGCAAGCAATGTGTCACCACAAGTGTCCGAGTCAATGGAAACCTTGTTAGGTGGGGAACAAGGGTCTGCGCTAACAAGCTCTTATCTGTGTTTTTGTTTTCTATTGAAGGTGCATGTCATTAGGAGGAGTGTTAACAAGAGCTCTCAATAGCTTCATATGGCCAATGGCCTCTGAATATTCATGAAGGTGTGAACAGAATGTGGGAAAGCGGTGGAAGAAAAGGCAAGAAAAGCGGCAAGAGGGCTGATTGTGCCGGGAAGAAAGGAGCCAGGGCTCTGTGGGAAAAAGGGATCCTGAATCACTCAAACAAGAGCGTATTCCCTAGGCAAAACCTGTCCTTCAAGCTGTGGGATGGTATTGATGGAGCCAAGGAGGTGGGATTTTTCTGAGCAGCGCTGGCACGGAATCAGCTCCTGGCACTCGAGGTAACAGTGCCCAGGGTTTTTTTAAACTAAAATCACAGCAGCCACTGGCGCCTGTTTTTGGAGCTGTGCAACCTTCTCTCCAGGCTTATTGGATCACAGGAGGGATCCAGAAGGTGGTTTTCCCTGGATGCCCGATATTTAAATGGGGAGGAACTCAAAGCAGACAGAGAAGACAGGAGGCAAAGGAGCAAGTTTGGATTCTGCTCCAGCACTGCGGTGCTCATCATGCCGAGGGAACAACTCACGTACACCCAGACAAAATCCTGGAATCACAGAATCAGAGACTGTTTCATTTGGAAGGAACTGCAGACATCATGTCATTCCACCCCCTGCCATGGACAGGGATGCCTTCCACTATCCCAGGTTGCTCCAAGCCCATCCAACCTGGCCTTGAACACTTCCAGGATGGGGCAGCCACAGCTTCTCTGGGCATCTCCATGGCCTCCACATCCTCCTGATGTTGGGAGCCCCAGTCAGACACTGCACACCTGCTGCCCAGCACCTGCCTCCCCTCCTGCACCTCCCTGCATCCCCAGCTCTGGAGAAATCCCTCACTTGCCTCTGGCAAGAGCCCAGCAGGGCTTCCCAGGGGCAGGCAGGATAAGGAAAGATGCTTTTCCTACACACCACCTCTGCAGGCTGTGCAGCCGCTGCTTCTGCTCCGTCATGGGGCTAGGGATTTCAGCTGGGCTGGTTTAACACAGAGCTCTTGCTCTGCTCATTTTGGAGCAAAATTATACTGCAGAGTTGCCTCTTCTTGAAAGGCTCCAATCTCGTGTGTCAGTGCCAGATAAATAGTTTTCATTCAACAAATCAATGAATAGAAACAAAGTACAGCAAAATAATGTCAAGTCATTTCACTGATAACGACAGCTGCTGGGCTGCAAGGAGACAGAGAGAGCAGGAGGGGGTGTGGGGGAATAGATTAAAAAATGTAAAAAGCAATGAATCACAGCTGGGGGGGAAATCATAAAACCACAAGCCACCGCAGCTCCCACACAAACGTATGCGGTATTTACTCATCTCTTTCTAACAAAATTGCAAGTAGAATAGAAAGGAAAAGAGGGAGGGCAATGGTGAAAGCAAATTGTTCAAACTATCTTTGTTGGAAAAGTAAAAGGGCTTTTCTTCCAGCAGGAAGCAAACAGCATGGCTCCAAGAGCTGAGGGAGGGAATGCACTCCCGCCCCTGCACCACCACTCCTTCCTCCCAGAGGTCCCTACCTTGCTGCTTTTGGGTCATCATTTCCTTGCTGCTGGTTTTCAACTTGGAGCAGTCTCTTGCTGTTTGCTTTTACAAGAGGAAATCCTGATTTTGGAAATGTGCAGCCACCTAGGGCCAGTCCAGTGGTGTTGTGTGCCTGTGCCGAGGAACTCAACGGAACCAGCACTGGTTCTCCATAGGTCTGTTTGGCAGGAGCAGTCTGGAAAATTATTATCCTGAGAAAAGACTTGATGCTGGGGAGGAAAACACAACCATTTATTCCCAGCTGCCATTTGCAGTTTTGTTATTAATCCCACAAGATAACAGGAGGGTTAATTGTGCTCAGATTACAATTACAACAGGAAAGATTTTCCTGTTGTCCGGTCCCAGACCAGCACTGTGACCCCAAACACTAAAAATATACCATGCCTTTAGCCTGAAAGAACTTTGCTAAATCTTCACTCCTTCCCCTCACACTTCAGAAGCTTTCACGGATGCACACTAAGGATTGCAAACTGGGAACCTTGTATAGGAATGGGGCAGAGCACAAGCCAGTGCTTCCCCCTCTCCGGAACAGGGGGTGCTTCTCTGTGGGTGAAAAACCAGGAACAAATGAAAACATGAATTTTATCTGCCTTGAGCCACCCCCTGACCTTCTGGGATAGCACTACATGGAACTGGGGTGCCTGCAAAGCCCATTCTGCTCAGAGACACAAACAGGAGGCTGAGCACAAGGTGACTGCATGAAGGGACATCTCTTCTCCTGCACTGCTCATTCCAGTCACACAGGCTCCTCTGCCGGGGCACCGGGGCCACCTCCTCCCCGTGGCACTTGTCCCACCCTGGCGAGGCTGCGCCTGCAGTCCCCGGTGCAACAGCTCCGGCTGGTGGCTGCCGAGGGCTGTGACCAGCATTCACATGGAAACACAGGAGAGAGAACACGGCTGTGCCAAGGAAATGCCTGATCCTTCCAACGGTATCCATCTCCCGAACCACAAGGGACAGGAACCATGGCAGATGCTTCTGTGGAACACCCGACGTGCATCAAACACACATCACTGCTGCTTTCCACAGCGCAACCAGGGTACAGATTTAATTACACACAACTCTCCTAAATCAAGGAGGGAGACAGCTGAAAATAGGGTGGAAAAAAACCCAACATTTAATTCAATTTATTTAGCAGCATCTTTATTGCAACAAAGGTTTTGTAATAAAACGCAGCAAAACTAATGTCTCCACTTTACATGATTAAAAGCCATGGAGCTCGGGAGGGGAGGGAGGGAGCCCAATAAACCCACTGGAGTGAGACATGCAATTCTGTTAACACAAACAGCAGGCACTTCATGTTCTCAAATTAAACACCTGAACTTCTACTGTGCAGAACAGCCAAGGAAAATCCGCAGGAAGAGCTCTCTGCCCCTTCCACAGGGGCACATGGAAAGTCTCTGTGGGGTTCTGGCACTCAAGGAAACAGGCAGCCCAAGGCAGGGCCCTCACCTGGCCAATGTTTCCCTTACTCAAACTCTGTTATTGCCTGGGCAGGGTTGGGTGTCACTAGCAGCACCAGGACAGCCAGACACACACAGCAGGAGCACAACCCACCTCTCCTGGCAGGGAATATGGGTTGGAACTTGGAGTGTGAGAATTCTCCATAATTTCCTACCCAGGTTCAGGCACAGGTTCTCCAGGGTTAAAGCATTACTACACTATCCCACTCAGAAAGTTTTTCCATAGCCTATTTCCAAATGCCACTAGTAAGTAGGGAATGCATTTTCCATTCTAATACAATGAAGTTAGTTATCTTCAAAGCTTTGCTTGGTGCTTTGAGCTCATTTTTCCATTGAATTTGTAAAAATTACGCAGTTCTGGGTAGATACTAATTTTACTGTGTTCTGAATAAAAAGAGATCATTGAGAACAAAAGGAGGTGGGGGTGAAACCCAACAGCTTTGCACATCCCACACTGACAAGGCATCACTGGAAGCTGCACTAAAATGGGGTGAAAGAACGTGCTTTCACCAGGAACAAACACAACCAAACCCAAGCACCTCAAAAGACAGGAAACTGCCTGCACCAACACGCTACAGCTTCAGTATCTCAGCACTCAGATCCCCATATTTCATATATGTTCTTAAACATATGAAAACATTCATCTCAAAGACACCTGTAACACTTAAATATCCACCATGCAAGGAAGGCTCAGTCCTGCTTCTGCTCAGAGCAGGGCAGACACAGAGCCTCTGGAAGGCAGAGGGGCCTCCACAGGGATGTAGCAACCTCTGCTTTGGGAGCCACAGCAAAGGCTCCTCCTCACACCTTTTTGCTCCACCTCCTTTGCATTTGCTTCCCCAGGATCTCACCAGTTCTGCTTAAAACTCACGTTAACCAAGAGATTTTTTAACATGCCGAGGGCTGTTAACATGCAGGAAGTGATGAAGTACAATCCCAAATATCAAACAGATTGGAAACCTCAGTGACATTCTCATCTCCAGGACTGTAAGGTACAGCCTTGTCCTGCTCCTAGGCCAGGCCAACATTTCCCCATATGAGGTGCAGGAATACCACTCCCCCCAAAAATAAGGATGCAAAGTCCCTCAGCACTAACACCTTCCTACCTCTGCAGTCTCGATACAACAGGGCCTTTCTCCATTGGGAATTTAGCTGGAATCAGACTTCATCTAAGGCATCTCTTTTGCAAGAACTACAAAACTCTGGTGATAAATCCTTCCAGCACTTCCACAGGATAAGAGAGCATGGGATCTTAAAGTGCTTAACTACAGTAAAAAGAAAAGAAAATGGTAGGAAAGAAAGAATCCATAATTTATGTTGCAAAACAGAGCAGTTACAGTATATTGTACTTTAATAGCTTTTTGATGTATATATTTAAACAGTGGAAGGATGCATTATTAAAAATTCTATGTCAGCACTTATAATCATATCCTGCCTCAAATACAAATCCAGCCCAGTTTACTCACGCACTGTTTAGTTCTTCAGTCCCCCAAAAAAGCACTGTTTGATGAAGGCCATCTTTGTTCTGTTTTTTAAACAAAAGGATCAATTTCATCTTAAAAATCATATACATTTACATTCAAGGGTAATCACCTCTAGAAAAAGAACAAAAACATCCCAAAAAAGCAAGTTAATTTAATATTGAACAAAATATAAACAACCTTGGAAAAGGTGAATACTATCCATGGGTAATTTTATACATATATGTATATATGAACAGATATAGATATATGTATATATAATACAGCATAAACACGTTGGGAACACAATGCAATTCCAGAGGAACAGCTTATTTTTGTCTTTACCCACTGTTGTGTTGCACCTGTGCTCCTCTCAGTGCTGACTGTAACACTCCTCAGGGACGCTGCCCTTGCTTCAGCCACAACGAACCGCTAAGAGAAGACAGCAAGAGAAGACATTCCTGGAGCCGGGCTCCTTCTCTGCCTCCTTTCCCAAAACCAACCCGTTATTGACCTGCTAATGGTGGTTTAAATCTGAAAACCAGCAAGTAGCCCGAACCAAGGCTCCCCAATGCAAAGGAAGCTCCCTGCAGCCTGTTGTCTTTGGCTCCTTTGTGTATCCAAAAACCAGATCCTGTTCTCACACACTGCTTTTACAGCCCTGCAACTGCCCCAGCTCCCCTCGGTTTCACTGAAAACCATGCAGTTTGATCCGACACAGCCAGACTCTGCTAAATCCCAGAGTTCTGGGATCAAGTACAAAATCCAGGAAAGTACAAGGTTACAACATGTGGAGTTCTAAGAGTGTAAAGACTGATTCCAGATTTTCAGCAGATGAAAAGAAAATCATGCTCTGCTTCTCTCTAGGACCAAAACAGAAAGAAAAGGAAGTTCTTAGGTTTCTAAGAAAACCATTAAAACTTATCAGAGTCTCAGAGGCAAGTCCCAAAGGGAGAATTTTCTGGATTAAAGAAAACAATTTTCTATGGATTTCTAGCCTAAATTACCTGTTGCCAGTTAAAAGTGCCTTCACACTCTTATGCTTTTCAGCCAAGCCTGCTGCTTAGTTAAAACCTCAGTAGCAAAAACACAACTGGGACTGCAATTCCTTGAGAGTTACCTGAAGCTGTACAGAAAGGGGTTCTCAAAGACAGCATCATCATCATCATGCACAGTAGTGCTAGAAAGGACCCAGGAACAGGGGACTGGACAGGGCATGAGCCTGGGAAATAGCCCCTCATACATGAGGAAGGTCAACAGAACAGCTCACATTGCCTCACATGTAAGGTCTCCCCACACATACTCTGCAGACCCTGGAATAAGAGTATTGAATTTCTACATTGTAACAGGATGCATACATATCATGCTGATGTGAGGGTGAGGAAGGAGTATTGCAAACCCAGCTCCAGAGTGAACATCAGGGAAACATCTCAACAGGATGCACTTTGGAGCTTGTTTGAAAGTTTACAGTTTCTGATTTTTAACTTAAGTTAGTTTGCACCTCAGAATAAAAGATTGTTATGCCCATATCACAGTAAAGTATCAATTCACTTCTCCACTGAAATCAAGTACAATCAGGATAGGTTCTCAAGCTGCTGGAAGAAAAGAGAATGATTTATCCTATGGGAGAAGGAATCAAAGAACCTGGCATCAACTGATCTGAATCCAAACTTTAAATATGTTAAGAGGCAGCTTAAAAGTCTTTCTTCTTAAAAAACAATTAACATCTAGACAGGGGATGTGTCCAACTTGTGACCACCTTCTAAGGAGTGAGACACATCCCTTTCACAAAGCATAAAAGCTATATGATAGCATTTAAAATTAATAAAAGTTGTAACCATTCAGGTAAATTCTTGCTGTGTAGTGAGTAAATCCAGTATAATGTAATAAGATACCAAGGAACACACTGTAAAAATACATCAATTATGCCATAATTCTTCTAAAAAGTGAAGATCTGGTGCTGTAGAAGTACGTTATTCTCAGTTTCAGCTCGTCCCCCAAGAGAACACCCATGGTACTGTATTATACCACAGACATTGGATTTTATTTACAGCTTAAACTTAAAGTTTAATAACTAAAGTTATTAGATCAGCATACTTTAATTTCCCGTATGGCACCAAACTGACTTTTAAAAAAGTGTCTGTGAGGGTGTGTACGTGTGGCAGGCACCAGAAAGCAACGTTCCATTCTACTCTGTCTAGCTTGCTACACCTCCCTGTGCGGAGAGCAGCTGTGGAGCAGAGCTCTGAGGTCAGTCACAGGGCCTTCATGGCAGCAACGCGAGAGCCCAGGTTCTCCTGCAGGTAATAGAGCAGGTGCAGCTCGTAGTGCTCGCCCGACTCAGGCACCCTGATGCTGTGTCTCTCCTGAGGGTAGATCTGAAATGGAAAATAAAGTCGTGAATATACACGCCAGTTGAAGGTGCCAATGTCTAAATCAGTCCCAGAGCCACATTGCACATGTCCATGGAATGTCGCTGCAATAACTCTGCACCTGAACTGACACACCTCATCCTCCACTGCCTGAACTCAGGAGAACCCACTGGGATCCAGCTGTGCTGGAGGGGATCAGCCTGGCTGAGCAGAGGCAGCTCCTGTCCAGAGCACATTCCCACTTCTGCAGTGTGGTGTGGGATCCCTGGGCTCCACCTGCACTGAGGCAGCAGGGTTTAATTAAATGCAGAACCCTTCATGAACACTGCTGCTCTGCCTTCCAGGTGCAGATCTCCTCAGGAACAGCATTAACTGCTTATTTGCCCATTTTTTCTTTTTGTTAATTCATAAAATATTAACGTTAAAAAAAATGCTTGGCTCAAATGCTACAATTTTATTCCTAGAATTCCAAGGTGTCCAGCACAACCATGGTACAAGTTCCAATTCTGGACTCCTCCAAGACACACACATTATTACCTTTACACCCTGGTTCTGGCCTTACCTGTAGGTCATAGGGTTTCCCAGCTCTCACCAAAAAGCTGAGCAAAATACTGGTGTGTGCAAAGTGAACGTTCTCATCTAAGAATCCGTGTAGCAGCAGCAAACGGTTTGGTCTGGGAAAGCAAGAGACAAACAGTTCTAGACAGCATCCCACTCATTTCACAGTCCACACACACCCCTACAAAAACACTCCCCAGAAAAGAGTATTTGCATTGAAAGCAGTAATTTCACAGTTGTAAACTGCTCTGGATAGACACATTTCTCAAACCTGCTTCTTCCTCCTCTGAAAGTTCTTCCCGCACATGCATATTACAGTCAGACATTTAATCCGAATATCTTATTTATTTCTCAGCAATGCTTCCTAGCCTGGACAATATGAGGCCTTAAACCTTGCTGATTTCAACTCTTTGGCAAGAAAGCCCATGGCCCCATCGTGCTCTGCTGAGACAGCCTCAGAACATAGAAAAACATCCCAATTAACTAATTTTTGCTTAGCTTAATGTAGCTCTAAAGTGCTAATCAAACTGAAGATATGTTTGTCATTTCTTTAGACATAAAATATAGTATAAAAAGGCTTACAGCAAATGGTCTGTAATTATGCAAATGTTCATTTGAGTATTAAGTTTATTAGTGTTGGGTTTTGTTTTCTTAATTTTTTTAAATATTATTTAATGTGAGCATTTGTGATTAGAGAAATACCAAGAACAGGGAGATAAAAATGTGTCTACGGGGCTTGAACTTTCCTAGTAGAAAAAAGAAGACAAGAGCCAGAAGCAAACTCACTCAGAAGGAAACTTCTCAGCCTGCATGGCCACGGATCCCAGGTAGTAGCCCTGCTCGTTGTGCTCCGGGTGGCCCATGTAGCGCTCCGTGTAGCCCGTGTCGTAGAAAATCCACAGCGTGACGGGGGCTCCAGCTATGGCCACCTGCCAGTGCCACAGAGAGGGGAATGTCAGCACTGCCCCCTGAGCTGGGAATGGCAGCACTGCCCCCTGAGCTGGGCATGGCAGCACTGCCCCCTGACCTGGGCATGGCAGCACTGCCCCTGAGCTGGGTATGACAGCACTGCCCCCTGAGCTGGGCATGTCAGCACTGCCCCCTGAGCTGGGAATGGCAGCACTGCCCCCTGACCCGGGAATGTCAGCACTGCCCCCTGAGCTGGGAATGGCAGCACTGCCCCCTGAGCTGGGCATGGCAGCACTGCCCCCTGACCCGGGAATGTCAGCACTGCCCCCTGAGCTGGGAATGGCAGCACTGCCCCCTGAGCTGGGCATGGCAGCACTGCCCCCTGAGCTGGGCATGGCAGCACTGCCCCCTGACCTGGGCATGGCAGCACTGCCCCTGAGCTGGGTATGACAGCACTGCCCCCTGAGCTGGGCATGGCAGCACTGCCCCCTGAGCTGGGAATGTCAGCACTGCCCCCTGAGCTGGGCATGGCAGCACTGCCCCCTGAGCTGGGAATGGCAGCACTGCCCCCTGAGCTGGGAATGGCAGCACTGCCCCCTGAGCTGGGAATGGCAGCACTGCCCCCTGAGCTGGCCACGTCCTTCCCTTCCACGGCTCCATCCCACTGTAACTGTGGAAGGAGCAAAGCAATCCTGCTGTTCCTGCCCCAGCTCACACACAGCACAGCTCAGCTACCATCCATGTGTGCTGGGAACCAGGATGAGCCTACAGATAAACTGGAAGCAACTCTAAGCATACCCCCTGCAAGGGATGCTGAGGGAAGTGCATTCTGTGGGGTTTTGTGGGTTTGGGTCCATTTGCATGTCTAACAGAAACAGCTCCCTAGGATTCCCCAAACTACCCTGCATGGATACCACCAGCTTGCAGAGAGGTTTATGGAAAAAAATACCCAGAAAAAAAAAACACCACAAAACCAGTCTAAAACGCTTTTGCAAGGCAGGTGTAAAGGTAAAAATACAACAACTGTTAAAGGATTGAGACAAGTAATTATTAAATGTCCCAGAAATATTAAGGCTGGACTTAAAGAAAGCAAGAGTAGCCACAAAGAACAAAACCTATCTCAAGGGCAATAACCAGCTGTTCCTACACCTCTACCCAAAAGGCAGTCTGGCTGTTATAGTTGTCTAAAGTCAGGCAGGCACAAGAACCTCTCTCCAGTACCTCTCCCCTCCCCAGGCTGTCCTCCTGGCTGCTTCAGAACACACTGCCATGCAGCAGCATGGGCAATTTGATCTGGGAAGAGATCAGTCTGCAAAGGAACTACACTCTCAGGGCCAAACAGAGGATGACAAGGAGGTGTTGTTTTTCACCAGGATCATTTCCCTTACCTAGTTCACAACACAAGGAGCTCAGCTGGCACGAAGTGGGCAGCAGTTGACACTACCTAAGGTACCTTCAGCACAGATAAGCTGAGATAGGTAGAGGTACAGGAGCACAGCTAAGTCATTGCAAGCTCAGCAGTCCAACAGTTGCTAGAAAAGCAACTTCCCTCTGAAGTCACCCAAACAGAAGAGTGTTGAATGAAACAGCCATTGCACTGTGTCCTAGCTTGTCTAGAGCAAACTCCAAGGTTTTTGTGCTGTCACCACCCATGGAAGTCACACTATTAAAAGAAAAATTCTGTCTGCACCCCCAGAGTAAGTACTCAATGCATGAACATACCCTGAAGATATCTGACCTCTGTGTTAAAGCCATTAGGGAGAGGTAGCCTCCGTAGGACCAGCCGTGGATGCCCACACGCTCCAAGTCGATGAAGTCGTACTGTGATGCCAAATACTGCAGCCCTTCCACCTGGTCATCGATTTCTATCTGTCCCTGGCAGGGCAGAGACAAAGTTCTGCTAGTTACAGGCAAAAGTTACATTCTCAGGATTGCCCAAGGTAACCACATTCAGAGCTTTGGTACTCAGGAGTGATCCATGCTCAGAATGCAACTGCCCTGCTTCATGTGAGCTGCAACCATGACATTTTATCTTTCCCACATTAAGCATCTTTCCTCCCTCAACTCTCACCTATACACACTTCCTGTCCCCAGACCCCAGGAGTGTCACACAGGCAGTGCTGGGCTCCTTCAGCACCGGTAACACTGGCACTCAAACCCATTTCTGGCTGAGAACAGAGCCAGACTCAGAGCCCACTTACCATTTTGTACTTAAAGGCTCCTTCAAACTTCAGCCCTCGGTGGCAGGAGCCCCTGTTGTCAATGACAACGACAACATAGCCTAGAGAGGCCAAGGTGTTCAGTCGGAAGTACTTGATTCCTTTAAACCGGTTGTTCACCAGCTGTACCTGGAATACAAGAGCAGCACAGAAGCCAGAGGTCACCTCTTAATCCAATTTCAGATTTTATTTATATTTACCTTCCTTTAAGTGCTTTTAACAATTTTTCAAGATCCCTACTGCAGGATTCCCTCTCTCTGCTATGCAATAAAGTCCTCTCCCAGTAAAACAAGCCATTCTGTGTCACAGGTATGAAGAGCTCAGCTGAGGTCCGGTGAGACAGAACTGGGAACAAGGACTACCTAATCCCTTTTCTCCCAGTTCCAGCTCTGCTACTCCATACCTGTCCTCAGACAAGTGGCAGTGCTGGATGCATGACCTGGGAACAACGAATCCTTACAGCACCTTTGGCCAAGCACCCACTCACCAAACAGGCAAAATGTCACCTGCTGCCCTCAGCGCAGAGCAGGAAGTGTTCCTGCAGGAGAGCAGTGGAGTGATCTCTGCCAGCCCATCCCACTGCTCACCAACTCACCTGAGGGCCTCCATAGATGAAGAGCACTGTGGGGTACTTCTTCCCAGGCTGCAGGTTGTGGGGTTTGTACATCATTCCATACAGTGTGAACCCCGTGGAGCTCTCAAAGGAGAACACTTCAGGGGGAATGTAATCGGGGAGAGGACCTGCCATGGGAGGGAACAGAGAGCCTGGTTGTAACAGGAATGGATGAGTAACACAGCTCTGCTGCACCACTGTCCTCTCACCAGTCTCACTGCAATCCCAGGGGAGCTCTCCCACACTTTTCAGTGGGCGTAGCTAGATCCAGGCAGAGACTGGCAATGCCCCAGCCCCAGGTGAGCTCTCTGAGCCCTATCACATTCCCCTCCCTGCTCTCCTGTGAATGACAGTAACTCTCCTCCCCTGACACAGCCATTACAGATGTCCCATCCCTTCCTAATCCCACTTAGGACTCCCTACATTAACACATGGAAAGCACAGGACATGGAGTATGCCTCAGGTAAGGAGAAATGAAAGGCAACAGAGACCCAGTGGAAGATTACAGCCCAAGAGCTGTCTCATGAAGACACGAGTAGGCAGCAGCACACACTATTTAAGAAGTGCACCTCCCTCCCCAGGAACACACTCTTTAGCAGGCACATCACACAGAGCAAGTGAGTGCACTTAAATCCCTCCCTGAACTAAAACTGGCAGGAGAAAATTGGTAATTTCCACTCTAAATTCCTTCATGGTCTGTTTATATCCATTTGTTGCTGAGCTGAAAATGTCCCTCCTGTACTTCACAGAACTCCTCATAAAAGCCTGAGTTTCAGAGACAAGGCTGGTCAGCCACAACAGCAAATCTCAAGCAAGCATACACTGGGATATCTTTCATCCTGTGATCCTGCTTGTCCTTTTCCTGTTCCTCACTCATGCCATTACCTGCTGAATCTAAAATGGTAGCCCAGAATTCCTTAGTCCTATGAGCTGCATCATCTTCTGATCCTGTCAGCCGGTACAGTGACACACAGTGGGGGTTCTTCTGATTACTGTACTTGCTGATGAACATGTCACAGTCCTGGAGAGAAAAAGAACACGCCTTGGACTCCTCAGTGCACAGCCACAAGCAAGTGATCATTTATTTTGCATTTAGATCTTTCAGAAGATGCTTAAGGGCCAAATTAAACCAGAAATCTGAGCACTTTTGCCTCTGAGACACTACAGTCCAAACCCAAAGATACACCTGAAAATCAAAGAGTGGCATGAGCAGCTTGTCACACACCTTCTTCTGGGCCATGGATGGATCCCTGGAACTCCACCCAGCTGGATTCCTGAACTCCAGCCAATGCTGCTCAGGCTCATCTCCTCTGGTGATTGCTCTCTAGTCCACTGCAGGCAGGGAGTCAGGCTCAAAGAGTTTCAAACAATTCATCCCAGCTCCTTTTGCCTGAAGTGAGCTGGAGAGCAACGGAACCAGGAGGTGAACTCTGGTTTCCAGGGTGGTTTTACACACTGACTGTACAACGTACAGGAGGGCACAATCCTAAAATCTGCTTTTATTATGTATCACCACTGCCCTGTCTGCTGAGCCCAGGCAGGCACAGGTACCTGGCTGACACAGCAGGCGTGCGAGTACCCGCGCTCCGTCAGGCGCTTCACCTCCCCGGGGTTCTCGTAGTTAACAACGTACAGGTGATGCTCCAGAGGTGAATCTTTTGTGCCTTGAAAGTACACCAGCTTTTTGGCTTCATCCACATAGATCTGCCAGGAACAAAACAAACAGCACATCCCTCAATATCCAGTTCTACCACTCCAAAGTCTCCCCCAGCCCCTCCTGCCCCACTTCCATAATGCTGAGTTAGAGCCCAGTAATCTGCAAGGGATAAACCAAAATACTGTTCTCACTGTCTACAACTCTGTCAGTTTGATTCAAATGCTCAAAGAATTCATCCAGCTCAGAGCTAGAAGAGCAGTGGTTTGGGGACCATTCCCTCTCTCCTTGTGCAAGTTCACAAGTTACACAGAACAGAAATACTGCGTATTCTGGCTAAAACCACACTGGATTAATAGATTTATGCTGATCCCTCCAAGGAACCATCTCCCTGCAGTGTGTGTGGCAGGATATCCATGAAGCAAGAGCAAGACTTACATTGGATCCATGTCTGCCAAGCACTTCCCATTCCCCACTGGTAATGGCTATCTCCTCTTTGATGAGGCACTTGAAGTCACCTGCAAACGGCCAATGTACAGAGATTTTTATTACTAAAAATATTTTGTTACTTGCATAGAAATATACTGAATAATAAGCAGGCAAAGGAAATATGAGTTGTTAAAGGGAGAATTTTGCAAGAATCCTGCTTTTATAAGATGATTTTATTTCCCTTAGAATGAGGGAGATTTAGCAAGGAAAAGAAGTCAGATGCATTTAGAGAAATCGAATCAGCCCAAGATATAATGCTATATGGGAAAAAGACCCACAACAGTTGCATGAAACTAGGACCTCTAGTAAAATTAAGTGTACTTTTTGTGCATACAGAGGTCAGTAGGTGCCTTCAACACATACTAAGTAAATTAAGTATCACAGCATGAAACTGTGAATTTAGGAACACATGCTGTGGAAAAAACCACTCTGGGAGCTTTGCACACAGCAATTTCCTGCATCTGAGCAAGACCAAGTTCCAGCAGCGAAGAGGAAAAGCCAACTATATCTCACAGTATCACAGGGAGCTTGTTTCCCATCTGGTTTTTGGAAACTTTTCCTTCTAGTCCATAAGGAAGGATCAGGGTTAAAACTAAGGCATGCTGAAAACAGAATAACCCCTGTACAATTTCCAGAGGAATGACTGTGCGCTGAACTGCTTTCCTGGACAATAGCAGAAGTTTCCAATAAGACCCTAATTCCTGCCAGCTGGAAGGACATTTATTTCCTCACAGGTCAGCAACAAATGCCCAGTTAAAGCCCCAGAACAAAATTGCCCTTACTCGGAGCAGGGAGGCTCCCACAGGACCGTTTGTACTTGCTCTCCTTCAGAACCGATGTCACCTTGTACAGGTGCCGGAAGCCCGTCTTGCACTCGGAGGCAAAGATGAACTCTATCTCATCTTCGTGGCTTTGAGGGAACACATGGAAGATATCGTGGATCTGAGGAGACAGAGCAGTGGGTTATTGTTAGCAGCAGGACTCTGCAGTCACACAAAATATGTTCGTCCTGCTGCTCAACACAGACCACACAGTCCAGGCTAAATGGATGCAGTACTGTTCCTTACTGGGAGAACCAGTCACACGTGGGGCCAGGGGGAATCTGCAGCCAGTGCCACATCCCTGCAGCTCCAGCTTTCTGCCAGTCTAACTCTATATCCTGGCCACCAAACTAATTCAGTTTTTCTGCACCTGGCTTCTAGCTTAGACACAGAGGTGGGTCCAGCTCTGCAGACCTCTGTCCTGTGCTGCCTGCAAGTGAAGTATTATTCCAAGAATGATGAGCTGACATCATCTTCCCACTCATCAACATGCCAGCTCTTGCTGCAAGGGACAATCTCTGGAGGACTTGGGAGCATTTTTCTTCACAGTATGAGCTGCCAGTCAAGAACCACTTCAGACTGTAAAAATAATGGAGAAAAGGAAACTCACTGCACCATCCTGAAACCAAACACTAAGGAGAGAATGTGGTGTCTAAGAGAGCAGTATAGTGACCATTCACTGGAAGGCTTTGTGCAAATGCTCTCTGAAAGATGCAACCATGTGCCAGTGATTGATGCTCCCAGGCACGCCTCCAACGGGATGTCACTGCAGAGACAGCATCTTTCTGTGCAGCAGTGTGAGGAGAGGCACAGTTTACAGCAGTGACCAGGCACACCCATGACTGCTCTCAGCACAGGCCCTGCAGTTCACCTCCCAGAACATCACACCCTTCATCTGTTTCACCAGACCAGATGTAGTTCAGGAGGGGTTCAGTGCCTGTTAGCTGACTCTCAGGACTGTTCACCCAGTGCCATCTTGATCCATGTTTGTTGCCTGGAGAATATTTCATCTGGTGGCACTGCTGGTGCTAACAACTGGCACCAAGAAGCTGCAGAGTGCCAGTGACACTGGGGAAGGGGCTACCTGGGAACACCCAGAGCCCTGGGCTCTGCTCCAGGCTCTGAGTACTGCATCAACTCAAGCACAGCAGGTCTGTTTTCACCTCCCAAATCTGTTCTCTGCGTCCTGTTTTTTACAGCAGGAAGCACTGAATATGCACAGAACTTGCAAGATGGGATCAATCCCCTTGGCAGCACAGTAACATCAACAGTGCTCAAATGCTACAAACTGTCAGAGAAGGCTGAAATTCAAATTCTTACATTTATCCAGATGTCTGTCGTTTCTTCATAAATAATGAAAGGTGTAACAGAATCTGGTACAGCATCAATAAGTTTCTGTCTTTCCATTGCATCATCTTCTGTGGGGATGAATAATGCAGGAGGGATCAGGACTATCTGAAGCCGAGTTTGGGAGCGATCCAGCAAGATGGACCAGATGCTGTTGAGGACACAGATATTAGAGAAAATAACATGCAACCATGAGTATGGCACAGGTCTGAAAATCCCAGCAGACACTCAGTAGCACTAGGTGTTTTGAGGGAGTCAAGAATATTCAATCGCAGATTAAGTCACGTGCAAAATTTCACCCACATAAACAAATCTCTTCCATAATACAAGAACCTATTTCACTTCATTTTAATATTGCATAAGCACTGCAAGTTCAAAAGTTTAACTCATGCTATTCTCCCCGATTTGAATTGTGCTTCAAGGGAGAAAGAGAAAAGAAAAATCAGAGGGAATAATGAAGCAGAAAAAATTTCAATTGAAATTTCAAGGTCCTTGTGAAAATACTATTGTTGGATCTACACCTGGCAGAGAATAACACTGGCACCTAAAGGGACCAGCAGCAGCCCCTGCCATATTCTGATGGCTTTATATGTAGCTCCAACAATAATTCTGCAAAAAGCAGGATAATATAGCAAATGTGTCCCTGGATTTCTTTCAGATTTGGATGGGAAAGAAATTAAAAAGGTGAAAGCCATCCTTAGATTCAAAACCTGGAGGAGTGCACTTCTCTAAAACCATGGAAACATCTGGGTTGGAAAAGACCCTTAAGATCATCGAGTCCAACCATTCCTCCAGCACTGCCAAGCCCACCACTAACCATGTCCCCAAGTGCCACATCTACACAGCTTTAAAGTCCCTCCAGGGATGGTGATTCCACCACTGCCCTGGGCAGCCTGTGCCAGGGCTGGACAACCCTTTCAGTGAAATATCCTTTTGGAGAAGCTTCTGGTGAGTTAGAAACACTGTACTACATCATCTACAGGGTTAAAATGACATGCAAATGTAAGTAGCACTTACAGCAGGTTTTCTGATCAGTAAGTCTGGTCAGCAAGGATGGTCCAGTGGTTAGGGCGCTAGCCTAGGGCCTGGGGGACCTGGGCTCATTTCTCTCCTCAGCCACAGACTTCCTGCGTGACCATGGCAAGGCACTTAACCTCTCTGGGCTTCAGTTCCCCATCTGTAAAATGGGGATAATAGCACTGCACTCTCTCTCACAGGGATGCTGAGAGGACACACACATCAAAGGCTGCGAGTGCCCAAACCCAAAGCAGTAGGGCCAGGGAGCAGAGAAAGACACAAGGAGGGCTCTGGTTTGGCTTTTGGAAAAATGGTCCCCTTTGCACAAACAAGTTGGTAGCAATGTAAAAGTGAAAGCAGGCTTAAGCTGGAAGAAGACAGAGACCACTACAATCTGCTTCTGACTGTATGACCCCAAACCCTCTGAGCAGAGACAGGATTAACATACGCACTATTTTCCTTCTGGCGTCCACCCAGCTCTAGCAATGTACTCTACTCCTTCAAAGAGGATCTCGAAGGGCTGAACTAGCTCTTTATCCACAACATCTGCAATCTGTTGACAAAGCAGCAATTCAGTGACACTGAGATGAACCCCCACAACCAGTTTTTCATGCATGACAAGAGCCTGGACACAGAAGACTTTCTCTGTGCAGCTCATGCAATTTAGATTGCTCAGCCTTTGCACCACAGGGGACTGAACCCCGTCTGGAGCCAGACCCCAGCACAGCAGGAGAGCTGCACGCTGCCAGGACAGCCAGGGCTGGGACCAGAGAAATCTGGATGCTGCTCACAAACCCATCATTCATCTCTCACAACTCATTTGAATTCTCAGATCCCCTCTGTAAAGGGGAGGTGATTTGTACCAAGCTCTTTTGTAGGATTTGCATGGATAGATGCTGAACATGCTGCATGACACCCAGTTATCAATGTGGTTCTAATCCATGAAATGCAGTGCTGCAGTCTGTCCCTGCTGGGCTTGGGAACAAGTCCCAGTGGCACCCAAAGGGTCCTGAAGGCTTTCCCTGCCTGTACTGGCTGACACCAGCATCACTATCCCAGCAGGTGACTGCTGATGGCTGAAGTAGCTCAAGGGTTGGGAGAATTCCAATAATTTATGGCTGCTAATGTATCTGTTTGATAAGATTAATTTCCCATCTGTCCAAAGATCTTGGACAGGTCTGTGCTGTGGAAATTTCTGCATCTGTTTAAAACATCCCAGGGCAAAAGCAAAGTTCAATCTCTTCCCATATGTTCATGCTTTTGTAAGGTGACATACTGTATTTGCAATCCAATTTTCCCAATACCTGCAGCCAATCAAGAGACCAGTCACATAAGAAGGTCTAACCACCCAGACCTACAACACTCTGCTCTGCAGCTGAGCTCACACACCAGTGGTAGCGAAGAAAAGCACAGCCTTGAGAAAAACTGCTGCACACTGAGTATCTGCACAGGAATGAGCCAAGGGCACTGCCCCCAGAGAAGCCAGGAAGCCATCACAACCAGGAAAGTTCCTCTGTACTGAACTGGAAAATGAATTTTACAAAAAAAGAATAAAATCACAGCAATTAAATGTATTTGGCAAACAAACAGAACATAGACTTACTCTGCCTTCTGCATTGATTGTCACTTCAGAGATCTTGAAAGTGACCTTTGGATTTGCTGTACCTATAAAAACAGATGTTAACAGTCAGGCATCAATTGTTTGCTGTGTATTATTGTGGTGTTATTCATACAGGACTGGAAAAGGCAAACAGCAGAATGCTCTCTGATCAAATAGCCTGCATGTCTGAGAGACAGCACAGAACCAGACAGGGAAAAAAGAAACTGCAAATGTGGGGAGATCCAGAGGATGTAACCTGCAAACAGATCAAGAGCCACACTACTGTCCCAGTGAGTCTTCTCTCCCACAGTCGGTGGATGCATTTCCAGGGTGGATGTAAATGCTCAGGAGTGACTGGGATAGCAGAGCAAGCTTTGGTTCACTGTTTGGCTGCTATTCCAAGGTGGTACATAGAAAGTGATCCAGCCTAAAGAGCATCTGTGAAAACTAAACACCTAAAAACCTACTGCCATCACTAGTGCCATTATGACAATAAAGCTACATATTGTTTAAGGCATTTGGGCTTTTGTTACCTCGTTTTCTTTGCATTATATAGAGCCATGGCAAAATACTCTCAGAAATTTGAGCATTCACAAACACCAAAAACCACAAGGTGTCACCTCTTGCTTCCCAGCCTCACACTGAGCCTTCCTCTATCCTTGATACAAGCAGTAAATCAGGAAAAGCTTTTCCAACGAATTGGGGAATTGACAAGATATGACTGAATTCTGCAGCTTGAGAAGGTCAGCCAAACAGAAGATATTTCTCCAAAATACGAAGATTTCAGGAGCGAGGAAAGAGAGCAAACCACTGTTACCTGAGCAATGTGTCCTGCTGTGACAGCGGGACATCTCAAAAGGGTTGAACTGTTCAAACATGCCCCACATCTGACAGTGAATCAGCCCTCAGCAGGTCTGCTTAAATCCCACTTCCCTGCTTCCACTGGCACTCCACTTCAAGCCTGCCCTCAGCCCTTCACTGCTGAAGCCTCTGGACCATCCACCTGTGTGCAAATGTGACCTCAGGTGGTTTTCCTGGCAGGCTGCACCAGGATAGGTTTGCTGTTCAAAGTCCAAGAGCAGTCCTGGAGATCAGAGTCCTCCAGAACTGGAACTGCCAGGGCATTGCCAGCAACTAAACAGAAACCCTCCAAAACCCCAAAGGGCTGTAATTCTGGAGCTGTTCCCCCAGAAACACAGGGCTGTAATGACAATCAACTCAACAACTCAGGTCGTCCAGGATCCCAGAGTGGCTCAAACAATGACAATGAGAGAGGGTTCCTGCCAACTCCTGACACCCAGAGCCCTCAGTATCAGCACAGCTACCAGTGACTCACCCAGCCTCCAGAGCAGCTTCCCCAAACACATTTGCACCACCTAGACACCAATTCAAAGACTACTCAACACCTCTCTGCTCTGGGATTGTAGAGTCACTGCTGTCAGGCACATGGAATAAAACAGGGGTGTGAGTTCAGGGTCTCACCGGTTTTGGGGTACCGGAAGGAATCTGTTCTCCTTGTCTCCAGCATGGGTGATGTGACATGGATAATTTCTACCTCTGACTCATCGTTTTCTTCATAAAGAATTTGAAGAACTTTACCCCCATCCAGTGCTGTAAATGAATTAACATTACAGAATTACAGAAGAGAATTATCAGTTATTGCAGGCATCAATACTCTCTCAGGAGCCTGAGCTGATTGGAAGGATGAAGAAAAACCCAATAAAGCCTGTGACTCATGTTTCATTAAGCAAAACACTGAGACTCCTACAACTCCCACCACTGTTGTGAGAAGGGAGCCTCTCCCCCCAGTGCTCACAAAGCCCCTGTGACCTGCCCATTGATACAGACAGCTCCAAAGGTGACAATTTCTGAATTGCATAAAGGTAAGTAAGAGCAAGAGAGAGCTCTGCACTGGACAGGGCCTGTCAGACACCCTGGATCCCCACACTTACTGGGCTGTGCCTTTGGGCACCACCAGTAGCCAGTGTATCTGTCAAACTCCTCCTGCAGCACAAAAGTAGCCACGCCAGCAGATTTTGGATCCTCCTCAACATTGGCCAGCTCTAAAAAAAGACACAAAGAATTAGTTCATGATGTGCTGCAGAACCAAACCAGTTCTGCATTATCCCAAACACAGCCCAAGTTCACCCCCAGGGAACAAGTACAAGATAATAAATCTGACTTCTCAGCAGATTTGTTTTCTGCTTCCAGCCTTCTCTGTTCATGTATTTAGGGAGGATTTAATCCTCTCTGACATGGCAGCTTCTTTTCGGAAAGGAAAGATATTCTCTCTTCTTACTTCTACCTAATCAGGCTCTCAATTAGGCAAGGAAAGAAAATGTTCTCTCTACCTGAGTTCAGTGAATTGGAACTACAACTTAAGAAAATCAAAACCTCAAACCTTTCTGAAGGACTGAAACTGAAGACACAAACATTCAGAAAAATGAAAGCATCAGTATTTCATTCACTGTACGAACCAAAAGTAACAGACTTACATAACATCTCAACAGGATGACATATCCATAGGGCTTCAATATTTTTCCTGTTACCCTGGAGGTAACTTAGCAGCACTCCATAAATAATTATCATCTGAGAAGGAGTCATTGCTACAGTTTATTTTTACTCTACTTACATAATATTTTAATATTAAGCATTTAAATAGTCTAAAGCATTATTATGAAGTGTTGGAAATTTCAATTTACTAAAATTTAAATTATATAGTTTAAATACAAAATTAAATTGATTTTATAAGTGTTTTATCCACAATTTCCCATTTTCTTTCTTCCAGGATAAATGCCTAAAACACAGTTGAAGAGGGTAAGAAGTGAGAACCTAAGTTATTGAGTATGAGGGGCAAGCAGAAGCCCCAGTGCTATTCAGAAACTGCCTAAATTGTTTCTAAAAGTCTCTGCAGCCTGATTTCACTGACAGAAACTTTCCTCCAGCTCTATTCCACCCACAGCTCCTCCACACAAAAAAGGCTGTTCCAGTGAAAAGCAATGTGCTGTGTTTCAGGAGAAGAGCCCTTCCATATGCATCCAACAAACAACTCATTCTGCCAGATTGCACAGTGCAGGGAAAGGAATCATCCCACAGTATCTGCACTACAGGAAGTCTATAAATGTGATAAACAAGGTGGAAAACAGTGGCCATTGCCCCCATTTCAGAAGCACCTTTAGTGCCATTGCTCAATGCAGTCTAGCAAGAACAAGTGCAGAGGAGGTAGAGGAATTTAATTGAGGATGCATTACCATTGTGCACAAACGTCAGCCTCCTTTCTTCCCTGGATTCGATATTAGATATCCAGATGTCATTGCAATGGATAAATGCAATCCAATTTGGATCAGCTGGACAAAGCTTGGGATCCATCCGGATATTTGGACAACTGGTCTCTACCAGAATGGGTCTTAAAGGCTGTTGCTATTTGGAATGAAAAAGAAAAAGAAACACAGTAAGATATGATAACACAGGAACACACCCACTGAGTAACCTGGATTCCAGAAGACCACAGCAGTGGGGACACTGACTTCAAATACATGTTTAGAGAGAAATCTATCCACTTTACACACAGAAGAATATTGTGCAGATATTTTATAGGGAAAATTGTGCCTCTGCCATGGTCCCACCAGGCCTCTTTCCCCAGAGCTGAGGATCAGCCCCAAAACAGAGGGGAGCTTGTGTAGAGAAGCCTGGCACTCTCTTAAAAACAGCACCCTAAGAGAGGGCGGCAGAACATGCAACCTTGTCCTCCTAAAGCAACTCAAGATACAGTAAATCACCCCTGACAACAGGGTTAAACAAACACCAGGCTTTAATAGTAATAATAATAATAATTTCAGCTTTGAAGGCCAGCTTCAGCAGAGTGAAGGCTGCTTGTTCTGCAAGTTATACAGTCAAATGGTGTAAAAATGGTGTAATACATTCAGCACTGACCACAGAACAGTGACCTGGAAACTGCAGCCCAGGGACAAAAGTTGTCTCTGGTGCGACATCTGACTCCATGAAAGACCACAGAGCCTTTTGTTGCTTTTTATGGACACTGCTAGTCATGAAAAATCAAACAATCTGGTGTCATGCCCTGCTGCCACAATTTTACCACTTCTTATAGCCCTGCATTTGAGTATCTGCCATCATGGACACACACCCCTGTAGATAACCCTGTTTCCAGGGTTATCAAGGTCACTTCCTGTGCCAGTGCAATAACTGCCGCTGCTCTGCTCTTTGCTCTCACTCCAAGCCAAAGGAGGTCCTTGCCAGAGCCAAGTGCTGCAGTGAGACAGAAGATGAGTAAACTCACGGTGAATCCATGGGGGCCTCCATCTTTGACATGATAAATCCCACTCCCTGCCTGGAACAGGAAGGTGCCACTCTCTCTGTGGTAATCATAGGAGGCAATCCCAACGGTGCCGATCCGCTTCCTCTCCCGCAGCAACTCCTCTTCCCGGGAGTACATCCCATAGTCCAGGATGGCCTGAAAACAGGCAGAGAAGCCCAATAAACACCTCTGCTCTGCAAGCCTTACCCTGCTTCCACGAGCAGATGGCTGAGCAGACATCCTCCTCCTCCAGAATCCTGCTGCCGGCTGGGAGCCCACTCCTGCTTTGCCTCTGCCATCAGCACTCGTTGCTGTAGGCCACGATCAGATCCCACACAAATATAAACTGACAGCCACTCCTACCATAGCAAGGCCAGCATTATTCCCAATACTGCTTGGTATAAGAAAGCTCAGACTGAGGGTCTGTTATTTCTAGAATGAGCAGAAGAGGCTCTGCTCACTTTCACAGACATGCAGAGACTGGTCTGGTGGGAGGAGAGCACAGCTGGAGTTTCACGTCTGGCTGACAGCCCCGGGAAATAACATGGGGAAAAATCCACCTCATTCCATGTGGGGTTTGTCCCACCTCCTCCAGCCTGCCATGGTGCATGGGATGGGATGGTGCAGGCTTGCTATGTGCAGCAGGGAAAAGGGAATCCACATCCCAGTGAGTGGGAAAGGGATCCTCTGTTCCAGCATGAGTCACGGAGCACTGACTGATCCTCGGGGGAATCATCACTTCTCCTGCAAGACAGCAGGGAAGTGATTGGAGACTCCAGGCTCCTTCAGCAATCCCCAGGATGTCACAGCACAGAACTTGATGCAAATTAGCACCTGTCATCTCTGCCAGCAAAGGAATCATCCAGCACACAGAGAGGATGGAACTCTAAACACTGAGGAGAAAACTGTGCATCATTTTGGGATGGCTGCACGCCTCACATGTACAAGGAAAGTCTTTACATTTTTAAGACAATAAACTTCAAATTTTCACTATGAAAACCCCAAATCCCACATGCTTGAAGCAAGAAAGAAATCAGGACCCACCGGAAAAAGATCCAGAAGAGGCTTCCAGGAAAGCAGCAAGACAGCAGCTTTGTTTATGGTTTTGGGAATTTCAGAGTAGAAGAGCGTGTTCTCCCTGTTCTCCCCAGACATTGCTATTGTGAAAATGAGATGAAAAAAAAGTATATTAGCTTTCTGTTAATAAGCCAAACACTCTCAAAGGATGCCCAGGAACAGTTTCCCAGGCCCTTCCTACCAGCAGAAGTACTGATGGTCTCTGCACTGCAGCCTCACTCTGGGAATTCCCTGCTTCACAGAAGTGCAAGTCACAGAGCAGAGAAGGCAGAGAACAATGACACCCAGGCTTACCCCATGCTGCTCTAAGCACTCTCTGCTTCTTACTGCCCTTTTACTCCATAAGCTTTATAAATCAAGGAGGGCTTTTGTGCCAATCCCTCTGTCTGGGATACACAGACTGTGACCTTTAGGGAGGTTTGAACATCCCTGTCCTGCTCCTCTCTCTCAGTGCTATTCAGATTTCTGAAGGCTCCTGCCCAGGCACATGGGGATCAGCCCAGAGAGAGCCAGGAGTATTCCAAGGGAAGGCCAAGCCAGATCTATAGCTCAGGAAGTGGCACTTGGGAAAGCAGAGCTCATCCTAGGGGAATCAACTTCAACCCACCCATGATGTGCTTGAACTCAGCATTATCCAAGGATTATGACCCCCATCTTGTGAAAAAAAAAAAAAAAGAGAAGCAATTTTTTGACTATGTCACTGCACAGCACATGCAAAGACTCTGTGAATCACAAACCTGAGCTTAATTAAGTAGCCTAAGTGGCAAGCACTGGGGCTAGAAAATGGCTTTGACTCTTAGTCCTCTGCTTCAGCCATTGCTTCTCTCTCTAATCCAGGTTTTCATGGATTTATGTTCAGCTACTGCAGGTCCTGACAAAAGCATTCCCCCACCACAAGGCCTGCTCCAAAACACCACTCAGAGGGTTGCTCACAGTATCACTTATGGTGCCAAATCACTTCTATCAAGTGAACATTAATTAGTGAAACAATGCACAAGTGAGGCACTTAATCCAAGAACAAACTACATGAAGTTTTTTATTATTAAGACCAAAAATGTTGAGAAAAGTATTTACTCTTTAAGCTGCCCCTGACCTATGCTGATATTTATTCCCCACTGGATTCCTGGAAAACCTGCTCCATCGGTAGCTGAGGCACAAAGGACTTCAAAATTATACTTAAAAATCTCTGCTTTGGAAGGAAACTTTGAAGGAGAACAAGGCTCCACCCAACAGCTGTAATAAGAGAAAAGAAATAAACCTTTCTGCAAAGGCTTCCTTATCTCTGAAAGGAGATAAAGCTTCTGCACAGCTTTTGGAGAGAGTATGACTTAAGAGTGACAGAAAAGGGACTGAACAGACTTCCAGCCTGGGAACATACCCCAAAGGACATTTCCCAGCTCTTTTCCAGGCCTAATGGGTCACCTCCAATCATGCCACTCCCACAGGAGATGAACTCACAAGTTTTAATGAGCTATTACAATCACAATCATGACTTTTGACCAGCAAGTGTGGCCTGGAATCCCTTTAGATTTAGCTGCCAGGAACAGCCAGCTGTCAGGAACAGTCAATCCCAGAGAGCCCTGCAGCAACACTGTCACAGCCAGCTCACCCAGATAGTAGATCCTATCGGAATGCGGCCCTTCGGGGTCATTTTTCTTCACAAAGGTGAAGTCATGAGGGGCTTTTGCCATCATGTATCCATGATACTTCCGTGTGTCTGTGAGCAGTTTCCGAAGCTGGCTCCAGGAATGCCTCTCTACATAGAAAGGTTCCAGTTTTGGCTGCTCCTCCCTCGGGACCTGCTCCTCACGACCTGCAGTCTCAAAGATTTCCAGGCCCGGCTGTTCAGTTTCCATGGCTGCTGCCATGTTGCATGTTTCTGGAAAAAACAGAGCAGCAGAGCTTCAGCTCCAGCAAACCCTCGCTGCACACTCCCAAAATGCTCCCCATGGCAGAAATGCTTTAAGAAAACCATCCTTTCACATGGGGAATAAAGCCCGCAGCACAAGGAAGAGAACTAGGAAATATTGTTCTGCTCTGGAAAACAGGCTGGCACCACCCAGCCTTTCAGAAGGGACTAAAGACTTCACGGAGCCACAGATTTATTGTTGTGTTTCCCGTGCCCACACATACCAACCACTCATGTTAGGTCACAAAGTGGATAAATTCTTACCCTTTAAGCTCCCACCTGCTTCTTTCCCTCCAAGACCTCCACAGATCACCTCACTGCGCTGATACCAGAGGAGGGGATCATTAGGAGAGCAGCAAGAGCTGGGACACACAACTGCTCAGAAGAAACAACACTGGTGGCTGATCTGGAACCATCAGGCCACACAACAGGCTTAGGCAGCTCGTCCTTATTCCCATTATTCTCCCATAACTTCTTGGGTTTGTTTGTATCTCCTTTCAGACTAATTTCAGAAGGGTCTAGCAGTGATCACCACTATTACATTGTCCCAATTACAAATACCAGAAGAGGACACAGAGAAAAAAGCATTTCCCAAACAGATTTATCTGCAACACAAGCCTTATCTGCCCAAGAGGCTGTTAATTCAGCACATATCTCTTCCTGCAGGGCTTTACAAAGTGTATCTGAGCTGAAATTGTCAGCCCAGACGTCTGGCAAGAGGAAACCAAGTCCTCCCACTGTAAATCCCAGAGCTGAGGGCAGCTCCAAAAGGATCCGAGCTATGAACTCCTGTCACATAGTTCATTCCTGGAGAGCCCAAGGTGCAGGGCTGTCAATCCTCAAAGGCAGGGAGGGGGTGTCTATATATAGCTTGGAAAGTGCACAAGTGTTGTGTACGCTGCTGGGGCAGAGCATGCTGGCCTGAGAAAACACTAACAACAGCCTAAATAAAGCATTTCCCTCGAGCAAACAGGCACTGAGGACTGCTGGAGCTCAAGGCACAGGCTTGGGCAGCTGGCAGAGCTCTCTGCTGGACTGGCTCCTCCACGGTCCTCCAGAGCAGCTGAGACATCTCCCCAAAGGAGTGAAAAAGATGTGATCTGCACCTTGACACAAACCCATCTTAACACAAATAGCTTAGCTTCACCTTTGGCAACACAAACAAAACAAACACTGGTTTTTCTTCTGCTCACACTATTTACAGCACAAAAATCCAGAACAAAAGAGCCCCGTCCAAATGGAAGAAGGATCCAAGGCATGCACTGAGCAGTGCTGTGCTCGAGACAGCGTCAGGAGCTGACAATGAACCTTCAAACCTGAATTGCAAATCTCGTTTCGTCTGAAGAATTCCAACAAAGAAAAAACCTCCTTTCCCCACCTACCCCCAGATGCTGCTATTTCTTAACCCGACCTACATCTCGCAGGAAAAGGGATAGAAACCGCAGAGCAGTAGACGTTAACGAGCCAATGGCAGTGGGAACGGCCACCCGGCACGGGAATGTCAGCCCGGGGGACGCTCCCGGGGGTTCCTCCATGGCCGGGGCAGGTCCCGGGGGGCGGCGGGCAGACCGCGGGGGTCCCTCCACGGCAGGGGACAGATCCGGGGGGACCCTGCACAGCCCGGAGAGGACCTCGGGGCGTCCCTCCACGGCCAGGGGCAGATCCCGGTGGGCCCTACCCGGCCAGGAGCACATCCCGGGGGAACCTGCACGGCCAGGGGCAATCCTGGGGGAGCCTCCACGGCCAGGAGCAGATCCCGGGGCGCCCCCAAGGCGGAGGACAGATCCCGGCATGGAGGCGGGCAGAACCCGGGGATCCCTGCACGGCCGGGGCGGCGGCCAGGCCTGGCCGGGGGCGGAAGGGGGGCCACCCCGGGACAAGCCGCCTCCTCTCGCCCGCCTCAGGAGTCCCAAGGCCCCGAGAGGTCCTCCCCGGAGCGGAGCCCCCTACCCGGCCCCCGAGGTTCCCCCGGTACTCACGGAGCTCCGCGGCGGCGCTGCTGCCGAGCCGCCCCGCCGGGCCGCTGCTGCCGCTTCCGCTTCCAGGAGCGGCCACGGGCACCGCGCCGCACCGGGCACGGCGCCGCCTGCCGGCCGGGAGGAACAAGGGCGGGGATGCGACATCCACCGGGGAGCGGGGACCGGGACATGGGACAAGGGGACCTTGGCACAGGGACTGGGACACACGCACTACACCATGCACGACAGGCAGGTCATGCAACCCCCCAGTACACTGGGACATCCTGCAGCTTCAAAAATCGCGGTTTTGTCCTGCCCAAAAAATGCTGCCACTTCCACACTGATATGCTTCCCACAGGGAAAAGAAATTCCCAGCTGTAATAAGGAGTGTTAAACACCGGGCACATCCAGGCTCCAGTGCAGTGAACCCCCAAAACACACTCAGGCTCCAGCAATGTGAGCCCTCCAAAACAACCCCAGGATCCAGAGCTGTGAGCCCCCACTCAATGGTTTTACCCCTAAATTTCCCTTTGCAAAGGACAGTCCCTTTTTTTTTTTCAAAGGAAAATGTTTTTTGAATACCCATAAACCAGAAAAAAATAACTTTCTGCAGATGCTCCCTCCGAAATTCACGTGCAGGTGAAAGCTTGGGGTAACACTGGGAGCTGAGGGCTGGTTTTCCCCACACGTTGCCCCAAAGGGTCTGTGGGGTTTGTGTTCCCAAATAAAGCCTCTGGGACCATTGCTACAGCTCACCCCAATAAAGCCTCTGGGACCACTGCTACAGCTCACCCCAATAAAGCCCCTGGGACCATTGCTACAGCTCACCCCACCTTCTGTGGTACCTTCACAGCACCAGGGGCTGGCAGAGGGTGGAATCCTCCGTGCAGGGCCAGGCTGGGGCAGGGACCTGCTGTCTCCACACCAGAGATTCACAGGGAAAATCCTGAGGCGGGGAGAGGCCATGGCAGGATGGGGCTGAAGGAGAATGGATTTGCTCTTGGAATGAGGATGGCTGTGGGTGAGGGGCCCTTGTGTGAGCTGCTGAGGAGGGAGTGGTGGGCTTTTTGAGAATAACAAGTAAATGCTGTCTTTTTTTAGCCTTATTATGATAGAATCATGGAATTACGTGGGTCGGAAGGGACCGTAAAGCTCAGCCAGTTCCAGCCATAGGCAGGGCCACCAAAATCAAGTTGCTCCAAGCCTCATCCAACCTGGCCTTTAACACTTCCAGGGATGAGGCAGCCACAGCTTCTTTGGACAGCCAGTGCAAGTGCTGGGCCAGCCAAAAGTTCTAGGGCGCAAAATAATGACCGCGTAAGAGTTGCAACAGGTTGCACGGCTACAGAATTGCTATTTGGTAAATTCTTATCAGCCTCTCCTGTCATGGCTGAGATGGAGTCAGTCTCTTCTACCAGGTAACATGCTACAGGACAAGTTGTGCCAGGAGTTTGGATATCAGTGAAAATTTCTTCACAGAAAGCGTTGTTGAACATTGGCACAGGCTGCCCGGGACAGCGGTGGAGTCCCCATCCTGAAGGAATCTCAAAGCCCTGGATGTGAGGGCATGGCTAGCGGTGGCCTCGGCAGTGCTGGGGAATGGTCAGACCGGATCCGGGAGGGCTCTCCCAGCCCAGCAGACGCTGTGCCTCAATAACTGCCACCGATGAAGGCTCGGCACCCCTGAGGGCGCCCGGCCATGGCGGCCCCACCCGCCCCCCGCGGCGCGCGCAGGCGCGGGGCCCGCCTGGCGGGGGTCGGAGTGCGCAGGCGCGGGGGCGCCGCGGGCCGGTGCGGGCCGGGACGATGGCGGGGCCCAGCCTGCGGCCGCACGTGCACTGGGCACAGCGGCACCGCGAGCTCTTCCTGCGAGTGGACCTCAGCGACGTGCGGGTACGGCCGCGACACCCGGGGACACCGGGGGGACTCGCCTGCGCGGGGCACACTGACCTGGGGACACCGGCGAGGGGACATCTGCGGACAGCCCGGGGGTGACACCTGGGGGACGCCGGGCGGGGACACCTGTGGGGAATTGGGTGAGGGGGGAGACTCACCTGGGGGACCCCGGGGGAAGTCACCTGCGGGACACCTGGGAGGGCTCACCTGCGGGGGAAATCACCTGCGGGACACCTGGAAAGGCTCACCTGCGGGGGAAATCACCTGCAGGGCACCTGGGAGGGCTCACCTGCGGGCGGGGAGCACCTGCGGGACCCCCAGGGTGGCTGACCTGCGGATCCCCGCGGGGACAGCGGCTGCGGGCTCGGCGGTCCGGGCAGAGCTGTGGGGACCCGGGTGGGTGCACTGACCCCGTGAGCTTCACCTAATGCATGTTCTCCCTCCGCAGAACCCGGACATCACCATCACCGATAATGTCCTGCACTTCAGAGGTAGGGGCTCCATCGGGGGGTCTCAGCCTGGCCCCCACCCCCGGGCTGTCCCACTTGTCCCCATGGCAGGGTGCTTGGTCCCCATCAGTGGCAGGAGCCACTGTGCTGGGCATGTCCAGATCTGCCACATTCCCACCCACAGCCCTCTGTGTTCCAGCCCTGGTAACCACAACAGGCCCTATCTTATCTAACAAGAAAACCCCAACCTCCCCATATTTAAATACCAGTGGAATTTCCATATATCCTTCCCATCCTGGGCCAGCCAAACCCTGGAGATAACTCACAGCAATTTTTCCTTTCACAAAGACCTTGTGTGCAATTCTTATCAAGCCTCCACATCAGGAACTAGTGCTCCATTTGGAAACTAAAGCAGATCTTGCCCTGAAAGATGGTTTTTTTTTTTGCAGCTGGACAGAATTTTTTAAGATGTCTCATTAGGAGCTGCTGCCTCCTTGGTGAGCCACAGCCAGGCCATTTGATAGGAGGGTGTTGCACATCATGTTCTCCTTGGGATCAGTTTACAGCGTGGAAGGGTGGGAATTATACACAGTGTGCAGTTTTGGAGCCTTTCTGGGGACAGGATCAATGTGGGAGATAACAAACCCTGATAAGTGCCCTTCTGCTGCTGGGAGGGACTCCCCACATCACCCTCATACTCACCCAGCAGCACCCATCTCCCTGGGTGCTCTGTTGTGCAGAGGCTGGATCCCCCAGCAGGAGATTTTCTGCTGAATTTGAGTTATCCCTGAGCAGCCTTTTGATCCCCTCTTTTGGGAATTTGACATGCTGGCTTCCTGCAGCAGGGACGCTTTTCCAGCGTGGTGCAGACTTGCAGCAGCTTTAGCTGCTGACTCCTGCATCTGCCCCTCCAAGCAAGGTTTTGGTGTCTTCCCTGTAATTGTGTGGTTTCCTCTTGCCTCTGAGGAAGGCACGAAGAAAGTGCTGTGAGTAAGTGCTGAATATTTCTGTGTACAAAGCATCCTTTGCAGGTGGAGTGTGTGGAACCACACTGACTGTCAATTCTTGTCTTTTAGCCCAGGGTCACGGTGCCAAAGGAGACAACATATATGAATTTGAGATCGAATTCCTCGAGCCAGTCGAGCCTAAAGTAGGTATTTTTACTTCTCTAATTCTTGCAAAGAAAAAATAAATTTTGAAGAACTTGAAAGGGAAATGGCTGTGCACAAAGTTCCCAATATACTGTTCAAATTTTTTTGGTAACTCAGTAACAGCCAGCTCTGTGGCAGTCCTGTGTGCCATTGTCTTGTTTTAATGCAAATCACCTCACTGGAGTTGCTGCTTGCATGGACCAGCTTGAGTAAGCACTTGCTTGTCACTTGTTCCACAGCAGTTTTAAGTTTTTTAAAGGATTTAAAGCAGCAAAATAACGGGAGAATCTGGCAATGTGTTGTCTGATGCAACCTCGACTGGAGGTCAGGGGAACATTGTGTAGTTAGTATGATGTTTCATGGCTTCTTTTGTAGCTGGTCAAAAGAAGAAAGTCAGGAGAATTTGTTTCTGGCTTGAGCAGATTTCTTAGGCTGTGGTATGTTGTGGTTCCTGCTGGAGAAGTCTTTCCTTAATCCCTGTTGCAGTGTGAGTGGGAGGAGCTGTCCCTCTGTGTTACTCACAGGTGGCTGTGAGGTCTGTCCCCACTCTCAGAGCCTGGGGCACAGGAGAACTTGGGCTTTGCTCCTGGGGCAGGATTTGTGCTGCTTATTCCTGGCTGAGTTTGGGATAGCTCCAGTCAGACTGGGAGCCACCGTTCACCTCTGCTCCTCAGCAGGGAAGGAGAAGGGAAGGAAAAGGGAAGGAGTCCATTGGAGGGGGAATTTCCAGGCTCTGTCAGCAGGCATGTTTCTGGTGTGGCTCCTGCCAGGTGTGGAGTGGCAGACAGTGAACAGCTCTTGGTTCCAGGGTCTGGTCACTGCCTTATCATCTGCCTGGCCCACAGTGTGGGAGAGGTGCCTGTCTCTGCCTGTGCCTGTCTCCTGTGCTGGCAGACACAGGCTCTGCTGTGAGCCAGGCCTGGAAGGCAAGTCCTTGTCTCTGCAGAGCAGCCTCCTTCCAAAAGTTGTCACTCTGAGTCACTGTGGAGGGACTGGAGAACAGACTGAACTCTGTAACTACAGATGGTCAGGACCAGGCAGCATCACAGTCCAGGTTTTTCTCCTTTAGTTTTGATGTGCAGCATGAGTTCCCCTTGCTGGTGCCAGCAGTGAGAAATGGAGCCTGTGGCAGGCAAGGATGAGGTGTAGTAGCTGTAAATTACAGCAGCAGCCTTCAGATGTCTGAGGAGCATCCAGGCAGCCTTGACAGAGCAGAGCTGCTGTAACATGCCCAGTTAGGAGTGCAGCTTCTGCAGCAGTTTCAGCTGGTCTGACAGGCAGTGCCATGTGGAGCAGCCTCAGTGGTCAGAAGGGCTCCAAGGTGACAGTGCCATGGGCTCCAAGGTGACAATGCTATGGACTGTAAGGATGGAGAGGTTCTGGGCTGCCATTGTGCAGGTGGAGAGGCCTTGTGGGTGGCAGTGAGCACACTGCTTGCTCTGTCAGCTCACCTTGTGTCCAGGCATTCCCTAAGGCTCTTAGCTCCTTCTCTCGGTGCAGCAGGGGTCACCTGGGGTCCCCTGTTTAGACAAGTACCTGTGGCTGCTGGCAGTGTTATTTTTACT